GAACAAAGAAGCTCAAAGATAGTGCTCAGACCAGTTTTAAGTTCCAGGACAGGTAGAAAAAAAGAAACATATCGAAGTATAAGAAACACCACTAAATTAGAGTACAACCGAACACAAACCCCACTCACGTTTCTGTCAGTTGCAAGTTATTTTGGTTCAGTTCTGTTTAAAAACAGAAAAATGCTGTAGCCAAGCACTGATAACTCACGCCTATAATCTGAGCTACTCAGAAGGCTAAGACTTGGAGGATAGTGGCTCAAAGCCAGTTCAGGCAGAAAGTCTGTCTCCAACCAGCAAAATGCCAGACTAGAAGCATGGTTCAAAGGGTAGAATGCCAGCCTCCCCAAGAAAGCTATTCTTAAATTCTGAATTCAGAAATTACAGGCAACCACTTGTTTATTTATTTTGCTTATTGCCCATTGAACCCATGGCCTTGTGCATCTGAACAAGTGTTCTGCATGGAACCACATCTCCAGCCAGCTTATCATGCAGCTGAGAAATCAATTTGTAAAAAGAAGAAAATCATGAAAATCGTGATCTTTGCACTGATATAGGTTCAAAATCAATCTCTTGTTTTGTGAATTTGTGACAATTTCTCCTATAGGAACAGTGATAAAGAAGAAAGGGGGCGGATACCAGGCTGGCTTTCAAAGCCAATTAAAATACTTCACAGCATTGCTTTGCCAGTTGGAGACACCAGATATTCCCCTTCTCCAAACTGATGACATTTGCTAAACAAATGGAGTGGGGAATCAGATATCAGAAACATAGCCTCTAAAATATCAGGACTATGTCTCCATCCCAAGGGGGATTTCTCTCTGAGAGGTAAGATATGGGAAAACTCCCAATGAAAGGAACAATTTTTTTTCATCTCTATTTTTATTTATTTATTTATTTTGCCAACCCTGAGGCTTGAACTCAGGACCTGGACACTGTCCCTGGGCTTCTTTTCAAGGCTAGTGCTTCCAGCTTTCTGTTTATGTGGTATTGAGGAATCAAACCCAGGGCTTCGTGCATGCTAGGCAAGCACTCTACCACATTCCCAGCCAGAGTAATGATTTTGATGGCTAGGAATTTGGGCTTAGGAAAGTGGGCCAATGGCTGGGGGACACACTCCTTAAACAGAAAGATGACAGGAGCATAACAGAGGATGAAGTGAGGGATCAGAGTGATATGAACTGAAGTGAAGGAAGAAACAAGGAAAGGCATCGTGGGGTGACCCAGTGGACAAGGAGGTCCTCCAGCTGCCACCCTGGGTCACTATAATGATCCTCGGAAATTGCTACTGCTCCTTGTCTCAAAATTTGCTGCTGCATGAACTTACTTTTCAACTTTACAGACATTCCCTTCCCTGCCTCTGACCTCCATACCCCAGGCCTCAGATCTAGATACTTTGTTTTTGGTTTTGGTTTTTTTGGGGGGGGGTCCAGTTGTGGGGCCTGAACTCTGGGCCTGGGCGGTGTCCCTCAGCTCTTCAGCTCAAGGCTAGTGCTCTACCACTTGAGCCACAGCACCACTTCCGGTTTTTTTTTTGTTTTTGCTTATGTGGTGCTGAGGAATCGAACCCAGGGCCTCATGCATGCAAGGCAAACGCTCTACCACTGAGCCACCTTCCCAGCCCAGATCTGGATACTTTGTATAGTTTCCTTGATTCCCTGGATACTTTGTATAGTCTCCTTGATTGACCAGTCCTGTTGCCTACCTGGTTTTGGAACAAACCAAAAGGGCTTCATCTCACTGCTGGTAAGAGTGAGCCCCACAGGGAAAAGTGCAAGGCCAAAGTGCCAGGACTCCCACTGTGAGCAGCTGCAGGAGCCCCAGCAAGGCAAAGGGGGTTTCTTTCAAAATGGTAAGGTCTGCTTTTCAAGCACTAAGGATGTAGCTCTGTGGTAAATAAAGCACTGTGATCCTGGGCTTAAGAAAATAAAACAGAGGGAAGGGGTGACATTCTCCAAAAAGAAATGTCTTCTTTAACTGACTAATAAAACTGTAACCCTTTATACATTACCATTATAATAACAATTAAAAAATTGAAGCCAGGTGCTGGTGGCTCACAAGTGTAATCCTAGCTACGCAGGAGGCTGAGATAGGAGAATTGCTGTTGGAAGCCAGCCCAGGCAGTTAAGTCTGTGACTCTTAGATCCAATTAACCACAAAAAGGCTGGAAGTGATGCTGTGGCTCAAAGTGGTACAATGCTAGCCCTGAGTGAAAAACTCAGTGCCCAGGGCCTGAGTTCAAGCCTCATGACCAACAAAAATAATAGATAAAAATAATTTGGGTAGTGGATACAAGGTCAACAAACTTTAGCCATTAAGAGCCATCACTTAAAGACAGGAGTTTGTGGAAGAGTCTCCGTGATATGAAAGCTGCCATTCCTTTACCTGAAGGACACTGGCTGTCAAATGACGCTTGAGTCCTTCATCCTTGATAGAGAGCACTGTTTCCCGTCTGCATGAAAAGAGCCAGCTGATAAAAGTTGAAAACTGAAATATTAGCACTTCTACTGGTTCACAGAGCATTGGGACGAACTCTCTGGAACTGGCCAGGATCAGAGAGCCATGGGCATAGAGGTTACATGGGCTTCTATGTTGGACTGAGAACCTTCCATATTTATCCCATAGGTGAGTGTTCCAAGAAGCCCTTGTGATCTCTTCCAGGTGGATAAGGCTTGAGTCTAGGGCCATGAAAAACAGGAAATCTGTTCAACATGTTGTTTATCTTAGATTCCTTGTCTTTAAAACTCTGAAACTGCTCAAAAGGCACAATCTGTACAACTTTGTACTTGATATATCATTGTATTATATACCTAAAATGGCTAAGTGCCAAATTTCATAAGACGTACAAAATATTTTAAAAATTGGGGTCATATACTACAAAAAGCTACCAGAGGCTTTGCATTTTGTACATAACCTTTTCTTTTTTTTCTTTTTTTGCCAGTCCTCAGGCTTGAACTCTGGACCTGGGCACTGTCCCTGAGTTCTTTTACTCAAGGCTAGCACTCTACTACTTGAGCCACAGTGCCACTTCCAGCTTTTTATGTAATTAATTGGAGATAAGAGTCTCACAAACTTTCCTGACTGGGCTAGCTTTGAACTGTGTGATCCTCGGATCTCAATCTCCTGAGTAGCTGGGATTACAGCTGTGAGCCACCAACTGTAACTTTTTTTAAATAGTACTGGGCTTAGGGCTTCCTTCTTGTTAAGCAAGAGCTTATGAGCTATGCTTGGCTTTTTTGTTTGCTTTAGACATGCTCTTATGCTTTTGCCAGGGTGATGGTGGCCTTGGATCATGACATAACCCTCTTACCTGTGCCTTCTAAGTAGCTGGGTCCATAGGCCAGTCATGGGGCCTGAACTCTGGGCCTGGGCGCTGTCCCTCACAAAGTAGTAAAGAACTGGTGTTGGCTTCAATTATTTCTTTTCAAATGTAAGTACTTCCTGAGAAGGAACCACTCTGTGCTCTGATGGCAAGTCTGTCCTGAGAGAAAGATTTCCAGCTCAGGAAGGACAGAGGCTCCAGGTTTGCAGTTACCATGGCAGCGTGGTATCCTGTTTGGGCTGGCAGGCACTGGAGCTGGTCAGCCACCGTTCAGATTCCAGCTCTCATTCTCACCAGATGTGTGACTATGGGCATCTCTCCACACCCTCTTTCCTTGTGTAAAAGTGGGAGACACTCCAAACATTTAGAATACTACTCAAGATGCCCTCAAAGGGAGCTGGCAAGATGGCTCAGTGGTAGAGTTCTTGCCTTGTATGCATGAGGCCCTGGGTTCGATTCCTCAGCACCACATAAGCAGAAAAAGCCAGAAGTGGTGCTGTGGCTCAAGTGGTAGAGCACTAGCCTTGAGCTGAAGAGCTGAGGGACAGTGTCCAGGCCCAGAGTTCAGGCCCCATGACTGGGGAAAAAAAAAAAAAAAAAGATGTACTCAAAGAAGATCATTATTTAAAAAAGGATCCCATTACTTTCCTGCTGCTTGGTGGAATAAAATAAGTGGATCCCTTGCAGAGAATCCAATAAAGCATTCAGGTCTTTTGTCTAGCTGTCTAGCATAGGAGTAACACTGAGGATTGCTACTCAAGGAACAAGGTAATCAGTGTAAGAGCGATTACTCAATTAACAAGCATTTGCTATTTCTGGCAGAAAAGTTATTGTTTGTAGGCTTGCTTCTCTAGTAGGTAACCCAAATATAAGAACTCACACTGCCTTGCGGCAATCTGAATGGGCAAAATGTAAGTTGCTAGATAGACTTCTTAAGCTCTGTGAAAGAAGCATAGTGGATGGAATCTGTCTTTTTCCTTTGTTCTTTCCCTTTTCTTTATCTAGGAAGGCCACACATATGCCTGGATGTGTAATAGTTATCTTCAGATCATCAGGATGAAAACCACATGCAAAAGCAGGCAGAATAGCACCAGCTCTTGGTGTTACTTCTGGATTGGTAAGTGAGAAAAAGGAAACTGCTACTTGGCTGCTACTTCACTGGATTCTGTAGATGAGTTTTAATTACATGCACCCTAACACAAATATAATAAAAAGGACCAAAGGGAACTTCACTGATGACCAGTTCATAAACCAGTCAGAGGCAAAATATCATCTAACAATAGCCTAAGGGATTTTATGTGTATATGTATATGTTAGTGCGTGCACATACACACATGCACATGCTGGTGCACACTGGGTACTGGGGCTTGAATTGTTTGGGCAGTGCCCCTTAGATTTTTCGCTCAAAGCTGGTACTCTACCACTTGGGCCACTGATCCATTTCTGGCTTTTTGGTGGTGAATTGGAGATAAGAGTCACATGAACTTTCCTGCTCAAGCTGGCTTCAAACATTGATCCTCAGATCTCAGCCTCCTTAGTATAGGATCACAGGTGTGGGCCACTGCCTCCTGGCCCAGGCTACAGGTTGCTGCTGCCCTTTAGTTCCTTCCAAATTTGGGCCATGAAAGAAGTCAAAATAATAAAAGTGGAGAGCAATTTTCAAATTGAATTTTTTTATTAGAATACTAATACATGCAGATAAAAAACAAAAAACAAAAAAAAAAACCACCCACAAAGAAAGAGGAAAATACTCCAAAATGCTATTACAGATTAGGCAAATTAGTCAGGAATGAGAGTTCCCTCAATGTGTACAAAATGTAAACATTTGCCCTGGGAATTCCTGCAGATGGCCCAGTCCACAAGGACTTATTTGGAACAAAAAGATGTCTATTGAATCTCTAGTAAGGCTAACATTTGCAAACTTCTCACATTTGAAAGTTAAAATTGCTAGCACATCCATACTTTCCTACACAAAAAAATGAAATGGTTCCCAATCAAGGCAACTAGAATATCACCTGGTACATGTGGAAGCAAAGTATGGAAGACAATCAATTTGCTGCCACGCACTAAGGCTACCTTTATTTACATTTACCTCACCAGAGATTACAAAAATATACAGTATATAAACCCCTACTGAGGCTTGGGAGACAAAGTATTTCTTGCTTATAGCAAATGTTCCAGTGGATGGCATCAAATCAGTCTCTGAACTTAGCGAGAGGGGCAGGGGGAGGGAGGTCTAAGAAGAAGCCCTTTTTTGTTCAGAAAATGGGGATTCATAAACTTCCATGGGTGGGCAGGTACAAACCAGGTGCTGATCTCCATATATGTCATCAATCCGAGCAATGGTGGGCCAGAATTTGTTCTCTGGTTTCACAAAGGGCTGGAAAGGACGAAAGATGGAAATGTTGTAGAACGTTCTGTGTTTCTCTTGGGGGCAAGGAGGCTAGTTACAGTGATAGTCCCACAGCCCCAGATACCATCAGTCTAACAATGACTAAAAGCTGCACTGTCAAAAAAAAGAAAATCCAACCTTTGAGCACTATTACTATGCCTCCCAGACTTCAGGGAGAACTTTCTCCCACTAGGCATTGGAATGCATAATGCATATGGCCCTTGAGGCGATCTCCCTGTTGGATGTAGTAGACGACACACTAATACACCTGATGGGAACACCTATTCTATTTTTCTCCTCCATGTTCCTGTGCCCAGTGTTGATGCTCTGACTGACCTCTGACCCCTGAATGCCAATTGCTTTGCTTCCCCCTCCCCGCCCCCACCCTGAACTCAGCCTGGGCACTATCCCTGAGCTCTTTCGTGCTCAAGGCTAGTGCTCTACCACTTTGAGACATAGCTCCACTTCTGGTTTTCTGATAGTTAACTGGAGATAAAGAGTCTCCAGGTCTCATGCCCCTCAGATCTCAGCCTCCTGAGGCATGAGTCACCAGTCCCCAATGCTTTGCTCTGTTATTGATCATGATTTACATTTCTCAAGATGGCCTATGTATGGTTTCTATTATGACTGTAACAGGGGGAACCTCTAAGGCGAGCAGGTGCCTACGCAAGGGAACATCATGACAATGGACTCTTTCAGCCTCAGTGAACTTACAAGTGGGAATGCTGCCACCTCTCTGGAATATGGCCGGTCCCAGTGGGAGGATGTGACGCAGGTCAAGGAGTGTGGAGACATCTGAGACAGGGATACAGACGGCAAGGGGTCAGACCAATGTGCTGTCCCCTCCCCCACTTACCTCAACCACTGAGCTTCCGCCAGAAGCTTAAATTTGGGGGAAGGAGGTAAAGGAAATCTTTTCATGGTAAACTTCTTCAAACAGTGAAAAAGTAGAGTAATAATACACTGGATAAATCCACCACGTAGCAGCAAAGCCAATAGAGCATTTTATATTTGGTTTACCTTTTAAAATACTAAAAATATCAAAATAGTAAAGTAACAAATAAATACAATGATAAATATTAGACACTGCAAGTTGACTACATATCCCCTCTTCTACAATTCATTGCCTGCTTTCCTTTCTCCTCAGTGACAAACATTATTGGAACTTGCTCTTCTTATGTTTTATTCTATGTACATGTAAGTAAACAGCATATGTTAGTTCAGCATACTTTGAAACCTATTTATCTATAAGTATCATGATCTTCGAGATTGCCATATTTTAAGACTCAGCAATATCTAGGATGAAAAGAAATATATGTGACAATAAAAATACACATACTTCTGAGTGCTGGTGGTGCATGCCTGTAATCCTAGCTACTCAGGAGGGGTGCTATGTGAGGATCATTCATGGTTTGCAGATAGCTCAGGCAAGAAAGTCTATGAGACTCCAGTAAATCACCAAAAGGCCAGAAGTGACTTATCTCCAATAAATCACATACCCCAAAAAAGTCAGAAGTAGAGCTATGGCTCAAGTGGTAGAGCACTAGATTTGAGCAAAAAGGAGCTCAGAGACAGTTCCCAGACCCAGAGTTCAAGCCCCAGGAGTAGAGAAAAAAAAAAAAAAAGCAAGCATATATTTATATACTGCTCTACTCTCCTGAAAAACATATCTAGCAAGGTGCCTGCCTTCTGCACGCCATTGCCCCTGCAGCCCACCTCCAGTGAGGTGGTTGTGGGCCCACAACGTAGTCTCCATTCGTGACCCTCCAGCTCATTCGTGGGCCCAACCAGAAACTTAGGCACTCTGACCAGTTACCAAATTAACATGCGTTAGTGCAGGTGCAGCACAAACCTTTCTGTAACTGGGGTTATACACATTACAAAACATCCAGGTTCAATGAAATACCAGTTCAGTTGTTCTCAGGTACCTGCCCTAAGAACGTGTGTTTATACAGTTTGTGAGCCAAATGTATAAATTCTATTTTGTTCCAATACTATGACAGTTCATCAAAGAGACACAAAAATGACAAGAATTCTACCCTGAACAGAGTCTCTCCCTCCTGTGGTGATCAACTGGGTGCATGTAAGATATATAACACCCCTATATACCTGAACAAACACTGTCAGTGTTCAAGATGGCTTATAATTAAGGACTGAGACTTTTCATCTCATTTTAGGAAAGAATACTGCTATCAATGAGAGTCCAGAAGTGGGAGCACACTGCCCAGGTGCCATTTTCTACTCAGGGAGGCTTTGAATCAACTGCCAGCAGGTACACACCTTCAGCGGATTGACCCTAGGGTCAATGCGGCCCTCCTCGACGTCAGCAATTTCCTGCCGAATGTTGATCATGGCATCACAGAATCTGTCCAGTTCTGCCTTGTCCTCTGACTCAGTGGGCTCAATCATAAGAGTCCCTGCCACAGGCCAGGACATTGTGGGAGCATGAAACCCTGCAAAAGGAGACAGAACAACTTGCCTCACTCACTCTGGCCTCTCCCAGATTGGAAAAGCCTCTCTCTCTCTCTCTCACAACTACCAAAAGAAATACATTTGCATGCGTACACATGGAGATTCATGTCTGTGCTGCTTGTAGAAGAAAAACAAAAACAAACAATATCCCACAATGGGGAATTAGCAAATTTTACAGAACACCTCTTCAATAAATATACAACCACTGAAAAGAACATACATTATTTTATTTATTTATTCATGCATTCATTTATTTTTGGGGGGTCGTGGGGCTTGAATTCTGGGTCTGGGCACTGATCCTGAGCTCCTCAGCTCAAGGAAAGTGCTTTACCACTTGAGCCATAGCACCACTTCCAGTTTTCTGGTGGTTTATTGGAGAGAAGAGTCTCACAGAGTTTCCTGCCCCGGCTGGCTTTAGACCTCGATCCTCAGATCTCAGCCTCCTGAGTAGTTAGGAGGATTACAGGCATGAGCCACTGGTGCCAGTTACATTCATTTTCTTTTATTTAGATAAATATTCATTAATAATTAAGTTAAAATAAAAAAGCAAACTCTACCACCTAATATTACCCCCTCCTTTTTTTTGTGCCTACTATGTTTCACACATCAGGATAATTCTGGGCTTTAGAAATCCTATCAAATATCGTAATAGTGCTAAGAAGGGAAGGAGGGAGAGAAAGAGGGAGTTCTGCTGCCAAGTTATAGAGCTGCCAAAAAGAGATTATGAGGAGCTAGTTGCTGGTTCCATCAAGAAATGCTTTCTCAGCTGGGAGCCAGTGGCTGACACCTGAAATCCTCCCTACCAAAGGCTGAGAATCATGATTTGAAACCAGCCAGGGCAGGAAAATCTATGAGACTCTTATTGCCAATGTTTGACCAGAAAAGCCAGAAGTGGAGCTGTGGCTCAAGTGGTAAAGCACCAGCCTCAAGCACAAAAGTCCAATAGTGCCTAGGCCCTGAGTTCAAGCCCCAGGATAGACACAAAGAGAGAGAGAGAAATACTTTCATGTTTAATATTAGTGTAACTGCATAATAAGAGCCAGTGGTTCAGGCCTGTAATCTTAGCTACTCAGGAGGTTGAGGTCTGAGGATCGTGGTTCAAAGCCAGCCCAGGCAGAAAGTCCACAAGATGCTTATCTCCATAAACTATTCGGAAAACGCAGGAAAATAGCCTGTGGCCCTGTGACTCAAGTGGTATAGATGGCTAACCTTGAGCACAAAAAAGCTAAGGACAGTGCCCAGGCCCTAAGTTCAAGCCCAAGTACTGGCAAAAAAAAAAAAAATGAGTGAAGAGAAGAGTGAATCACACACATGGGATTTACATTATGATGCAGTAGTAAAACTATTAAATTTTTAAAATTCACACTCCTTAAAACAAGTCATTAAGATTCAAATAGAAATAGCATTAACACAGAGAAGGCAAAGTTCTCTCCACCTTCATATTATCTGAGAGTTAAAGATCTTTGATATTATTATTCATAATACTAATGTTATGTTAATGAAGGAATGAAGGCTGTGTTAAATAACACATAATATACCAATAAGACTCCCACATCTATCAAAGAAAGGTACTTTTTCTTTTTTGGTTTGTTGATCATGGGGCTTGAATTCAGGGCCTGAGCTTTTGTGCTCAAGGCTAGTGCTCTACCATTTGGGGCTACAGTGTCACTTCCATTTTTCTGGTGGTTAATTGGAGATAAGAGTTTCAAGGTCCTTGGTAAGAAATGTATGCATTATCCTGCCCATGTAATTGTAACCCCTCTGTACAGAATGTTCTCATATAAAATAAAATAAAATTTAAAAAAAAAAAAAAAAAAAAAGAGTTTCAAGGTCTTTCCTGGCCAGGCTGGCTTTGAACCGTGATCCTCAGATCTCAGCCTCCTGAGTAGCTAGGATTACAGGCATGAGCCACTGGCACCTAGTGAAAGGTGCATTTTCTTTTTTTTTTTTTTTTTTTAAGTAAGAATTACTTATTCAATAGATTCCTTCATTTATTGACAAATTTAGTTCAAAATTCCATTCATTTATTTTTTTTATTGTGAAAATACCGTACAGAGGGGTTACAATTAAATGGGCAAGGTAATGAGTACATCTCTTATCAAGTATTGTTGCCTCCTCCTTCGTTTCCCCTTCCCACCTCTTCCCATCTCTGCCCTCCTGCCCCCCCACTTGCGTTCCCCTGCCCCCCCACCTGCGTTCCCCCACCCCCCAAAGGTGCATTTTCTTTGTAGAACCAATACGCACCTATTTTCTTCCATCTCTGAAACAGCTCTTCCATGGCCAGAGTGGTTCTAGAACTCCAGTGCCCTTTTGTGTCTACACTTCTACAGATTATTTGTTCTACCTCATTCCCTATTCTACCAACTTATATTTTCATGGGCTCTGTTTATGGGATGCAGGATAGGAGTAAGAATTTATCAGAAACACTAGCAACGAACAGCAATTATTTGCTTGGAATTTAAAAATTAAAGATAGGTTTTCCGGGCTGTGAGGGATGCAATCTATGTTTTAATATCTTTAGAAGAGCAGAGCCAGTATCAGAGTGGAAAGTTTTTCATTATTATTTTAAAGGTTGCTAAAGTCTAGGCTCCCCATTTATTCCACGGATCAATTTACTGTGATGCCTATACGTTCTGTTTGTGCTTTGAGGAAGTAATTCAAAGCCAGCAAGGCCAGCTGCATGAATGTCTCGGCCACTTACCGTAATCCTGGAGTCTCTTGGCTACATCCACTGCCTCAATATTTGCAGACTTTTTGAAGGGCCTTAAGTCCAAAATAAACTCATGAGCCACATAACCTGTCCAGGAAAATGGGTTTAGCTCAAGATTAGTATCGGCTTGCTGTTTTACCCAAGTAAATGATTCAGCTCTTTATGAATATCTGTGAGGATCAAGAGACTAAGAACATTCGGTAAGTTTCTCTTATATTAAGAAAAAAGATTTCATGTAATCTTAGTACATTGTATGTCTGATTGGCAATGACTTAATGGAAGATGGAAAGCATTACTGAAACATTCCACCAGAGATGTCTGGAGATGAGATTATTTCTACTCTGAGAACCTTAAAACTACTTGGAACAATATGCATGTCTTCACATTCCTGGTCCTTTATTTCTAGAAATAAAGATCAGTTGATACCCTGCAGCGACTTTATCCTCAATGTCAAATAACTGTTTCTTCTGAATATATGAAAATATTTTTAAAAAATAGAACAGATATGGAATTTTATATGATTTCTTCAAAGTAGCTTGTGAAGTTTTGATTTCAAGCTTCAGACTGAGAATTAAAAATAGGCAGCATTGTCAAGCTGGGCACCAGTGAGCGATTCACGCCTGTAATCCTAGTTACTTCGGAAGCTAAGAGCTGAGGCAGCCCATGCAGAAAACCTCATGAGATTCTTATGGCCAATTAATCATTGAAAAGCTGAAAAGTGGTAGGGTACTATTCTTGAGTGAAAAAAAAAATCTCAGTGCACAAGCCCTGAGTTCAAGTCCCAGGACCAGTACCAAAAAAAAGATACTATCAAACAAGACACCAGGAGTGGCGAGGAGTTCATGGTAGTGTGGGACAGCTCACTTTGTTCTAGTTTCTCTAGGCCCAGGAAGCGACCTCCTCAGCATGAGCTACTAACTGATGAGGATAAAGCAGTAAGTCAGCATTTAGACAACAAAACAACATTCCTTCCCAGATTTTGTGGTCCACCAACTGATGTTTCCTTTGAGGAAAGTTTCTATCCAAGAGATGTGAACGTATCCTTTTTAACCTGCTTTCCTAACTCTCACCCAACAGTGAATCAATCCACTTATAGACTGGCAGAGCAGACCTGAGTTCTCAAGCTTGGGAAGAATAGCTCCAATAACAACAACGAACAGCTCAATACTCAGCTCCACTAACAGCCTCAGAGTTGAAGAGGAGTGTGTGTGAACCACTTGCCTTCTGTATAATGAATAAACTGGGATAGATTGCCTTTGCTTGTAAAGTATCTGAGAATCAGAATACATCTGATCTGCATATTTTTTAAAAATATGCTTTCAGGACTGGGAATGTGGCTGAGTGGTAGAGTGCTTGCCTAGTACGCATGACGCCCTGGGTTTAATTCCTCAGTACCACATACCCAGAAAAGGCTGGAAGTAACACTAGGGCTCTAGTGGCAGAGCATAGCCTTGAGCAAAAAGAAGCTCAGGGACAGAGCCCAGGCCCTGCGTTCAAGCTCCAGGAGTGGCCAAAAAAAAAAAGAAAAGAAAAATATGCTTTCTAACAATAGTGGAGATGAATCAGTTAAACGTGTGAACAAAAGCAGTCAGGGTATTTACTATGTAAAAAAATGAACTATGAGACTTGTGGGCAAGGACAGAAGGGGGAAAGCAAAGGAAGGGGTGACATTGTCCAAGAAAAATTGTACTCATTATCTGAATGGACTTGAAACCCTTCTGTACAACTCCTTAATAACAGCAATGAAATTATTTTTTTTAAGTGTGATTCAAAAGGAGAAGAAAGAAATAACCAGCGGAATGTTTCAGAAGGAAACCATGAAATTTTTTCAAAACCTTACTGTTCATTTCAGGCCTCCTAAATGCCCAGCTACACGTCACCCTTTTAGACTCCAATGGCTCTGACGGACATGCAGAGAAGAGGGGTGGGGGGATGGGATGTCAGCGTGGGAGGAGATGCTGGAGTTGCTTGGCAGGGTGAGAGGAGTCTTCCAAGCAGAGGTTTGGTAATAGCTGAAAGGCACCAATCAGCCAAGCCCAACCCAGCACTGCTAATACCAAGACTTTATCTGCAGAGGTCCCCACCACAGCCAAGTGGTTTGGGAAGGGCTCCATTTCAAACATGAGGCTCAGATGTTATTTTCTGAATCCATACTCTGTTGCATCAGATGGAAACTGTAGTACGATTTCAGCAGCTCTTTCTACGTAAGCACTGGAAGGGGTGAAATTTAAACTTGGAGGTGTCACAGCCAAATTCCGAGATGCTAATCTTTGTTTCTTTTAAGAGAAGATCAACCAATTTCTTATGACACATGAGACAGGGCAATCTGAAATTGTGTAAATTGATCAGTGGAGATTTTCTTTTTTTTTTTTTTTGTCAGTTGTGGGGCTTGAACTCTGGTCCTGGGCTCTGTTCCTGAGCTTTTCAGCTCAGGACGAGCATTTTACCACTTGAGCCACAGTGTTAGTTCTGGTTTTCTGGTGGTTAATTGGAGATAAGAGACTCACACAGTTTCCTGCCCAGGCAGGCTTTGAACATCAATCCTCAGATCTCAGCCTCCAGGCGTGAGCCAATGGCCCCTAGCTAGATCCTTTGTGCCTGGGTTTACATGTGCATCCTATCTCCACCAAAAGATCACGAGCTGTTACCTTGATGAGTTACTGTTTCTCCTTTCTTTCCCCTCTCCCTGTGTACTGTCTCTCTCTTTTTCCAGGGTCTTGCTATGTAACCCAGGTTGGTCTTGAAAATATGATCTCTCTGCCTCAGCTTCCTGAGGTCTACACCACCACTCCTGGCTTTCTTTCTACCTTTTCTTGACTTTTTTTTTTTTTTGACCAGTCGTGGGGCTTGAACTCTGGGCTTAGGCGCTCTTCAGCTCAAGGCGAGCGCTCTACCGCTTTGAGCCACAGCATCACTTCTGGTTTTCTGGTGGTTTATTGGAGATAAGAGTCTCACAGACTTTCCTGCCTGGCCAGGCTTTGAACTGGGATCCTCAGATCTCAGCCTCCAGAGTAGCTAGGATTACAGGTGTGAGCCACTGGCATGCAGCTGAGATTTTCATTTTTATGGATTAGCTGTTTATTGCGGGTCTAACAGGACTGGGAAGTGGAGGGTGTGAGGATGGAAAAGCCAAGTAAAAAGTAGCCTGGTTCTTGTGTTGGAACCAAGTTCCCCCCTCAGGTACTGGCATACTGGGAATCTGAAAACAACATGGGAATGTGTGATGTGAAAACAGGGCTTCTCAAAACCCTCCCTGAGAGCAGAGACTAGACCTTACTAACTCAACATCCTCAAAGAGCTTGTCTAGGAATGCTGGAACTTGGTAATTACTTTGGAAAGGCTGAGTGACAATCAGTTCCTTAGCTCTTCAGTGGCAATCCAGAGACCATGACTCACCAAGTCAACACTCCAGCCGGTTTTCCTGACAACAGGTCAGATACTTAGCCTTGGATTCAGCAGGGTCACTAGCAAGAGGGGGATACAAGGGCCCGGCAGCCTTTAAGACCACCTGGAAACCCCTGTAGGAACAGGAATTTGTCTAAAGTAAAAACTGGGCAGGAATATAGGAATCTAAAAGGTTCAATGCTGCTGTACTAACAAAGTCAGCCACTCCTGCTGACAGAAACTGCCTTTGGATCTCAAAGTAAGCTATGACTTCACAAAATATGACATCAGTGAAGTTTTGTTTCCTGCTTTTAGTTTATTTATTTATTTTTGCCAGTCCTAGGGCTTGAACTCAGGGCCTGGGCACTGTTCCTTAGCTTCTTTTGCTCAAGGCTAGTGCTCTATCACTTGAGCCACAGCACCACTTCCAGCTTTCTCTGTGTATGTGATTCTGAGGAATGGAATCCAGGGCTTCCTGCATGTGAGGCAAGCACTCTACCACTAACCCACGTTCCCAGCCCCTAGTTTTGTGGATTTTTTTTTTAAATCCTCTATGGGGCTCATGCCTGTACTTCTAGCTATTCAAGAGGCTGAGATCTAAGGATCTTAGTTCAAAATCAGCCCACACAGGAAAGTCTATGAGAATCTTATTTACAATTAGCTAGCAAAAAGCTGGAAGTAGAGTTGTGATTCAAGTGGTAGAGTGTTAGCCTTGAGCAAAAAAGTTCAGGGACAATGCTCAAGCCTCAGGATTAACACAAAAATGTATTAAAAATCCTCCTTCAAGGTTTATTACCTTAGGGCTCGGGGAATGGCTCAAATGGTGGAGCACTTGTTTGGGAAGCATGATGCCCTGATTTCAAACCCAGGCCCCACAAATAAATAAAGTACCACCCTAAGCTATAATTCCAGTAAGTCAGGAGAATAAACCAGAACGATTATGAGTTTGAGGCCAGCTTGGTAGTGAAGCCAGTAGGGATAGGGATGGAGAAATAGGAGAGGAGAGGGGCAGGGGATCTTACTTGAAGTCATTTCTTTCTTTCTTCAACCTAGTAGAATAAATAATTGGCTCTCTATCCCAATTGTTCCTGTCACTTCTTACTTCAAAAAACCATAAACCCTGAAGGTTTAACTGGTATTCAAATCTCTCATAGAAATGGCTCATAGAAGCAAGACTGGAGTTCATTAAAATGATTGCCTCATAGTCATCCCTAATTCCAACGTCCGATTTAGAGCTGGTAAATATGTCTTCTAATATTGCCTACACATTTTAGAATACAATGTGTTTACTGGAACATTTCTATTTTGGGCACTCAGGAGGTACACTGGCGCTTGGTTTTTAGGACATAAAATACTGTCTCAAATTGTGAAATGAATGTGTTTACCAGACCATCATGAGACAATTTTTGGTTTCTTGAACTTTGGGATTGAGTAATGAAGTCTGTAATCACCAATTTATTTCTGCTTGGGATAAAAACTATTTGTTATTTAATTCTTAAGTAAAATGTCAAAACAAATGGAAATTTCATCCATCTCTTTGGACTGCAAATCCCCATAAGGCAAGGAGAATCTGCGCCTAAACAACTATGCAAATGTAAGCACATATTTGTCCCTCTCTCTTCTCTCCTGAGACACTATAACCATCATGACTCAGTTTAGAAAACTAGTGAGTGCTGTGGCTCATGCCTGTAATCGTAGCTACTCAGGAGACTGAGATCTGAGGATCACAGTTTGAAGCCAGCCAGGGCAGGAAAGTTCATGAGACTCTTATCTCCAAAAAGTGGGTCTGTGGTTCAAGTGGTAGAGCTCTAGCCTTAAGAGAAAAAACTCAGGGGACACAAGCAGGCCCTGAGTTCAAGACCTAGACCAGGCACAAAATACAGACAAAAAGCTAAACTACACTGCACAAATTGTGGTCATATTAAGTCACTGAATTGTGTACTTTCAATAGGCAAATGGCTTCATGCTTTTGTATTTTCTAAAATTCTTATATTAAGCAATATTCATCACTTGAAAAACTACGCAAATATTTAAGCCAATCTTTAAAGTAATTATACAAATGGGACAGGCTTCACAGCACAGGAACTATATTTGAATTAATTAGTACCTCTAATAGCTTCTTTCATACCCACTTCAGATAGTTTATTGTCCACCACTTTTTTCCCCTGAGGAATGTTCCTAATCAGAGCTCCTGATTAGTTCTCTATTTTCAAACTCTAGAACCACCTCTCTGGATTTATTGTACTGATAAGGTCAGACCAGCCTTTAAATTATAGATCACAGCTGTAGATGCACATTCTGTGTGGGCTGGAAGAAACAAGAGCTCGACAGTATCGCTGCGCTGTTGCCAAAGGTCTGGGCCAGCTGGTGACTGATTTCTGCTCTATTTCTATTCTATAGGTCTGCCTGACTCTATTCCCTCCCCTTTGCCAGGAGCTTCCATTCACTTTGTTGTCACATGTAAAAAGAACACATAATGCCATTCTGTTGAGACAGCCTTACAAAACTTCCCCAAACCATAAAAGTCCCCTTTTTCTTCCTACATTGTCTGTTAAGCCCCTTTCCATTTCTGCTCATTTTCTATATCACCATTCTGCCCAAACTACTTTCAACCAAAGGCTTCATTGTTGAAGATAAAGGTTCTCTTTAAACTGCCTAATATCAAGATGAACTTTACTCATAATCTGACTTGAGTTGAAACCTCTTAATATAACTACCTAAAAGTAAAAAAACAAAAAACAAAAAACTCAGCCAGGCCTGGTGGCTTACACCTATAATCCTAGCTACTCAGGAGGTTGATCTGAGGATGATGGTTCAAAGCCAGCCCAAGCAGCAAAGTCCATGAGACTCTTATCTCCAATAAACTATTCAGAAAAGACCAGAAGTGGCTCTGTGGATCAAGTGGTAGAGCATTAGCCTTGAGTCAAAGAAGCTAAGGGTCAGACCCCAGACCCCTGAGTTCCAGCCCCAGGACTGATACAAAAAAAAAAAAAAGTTCATATCACAAAACCAGACATATCATTCATACCTTAATGAAGCCAGGTGAAATATAAATACTCAAACTAAATAATATAAAATTAAATTAACATTAGCCTCATGCCTTTTACAGTCTGCCTCTGGTTCTCCTGTTATACAAAACCTCTTGCTGACTGCATGGGGGAAGGCCAGGCGTGGGCACTGAGGAAATGAAGCAGACACTAACCTGCCCTTCTGGAGGATGAGGTCTGCCATGGAGGGACAGACACCCCTGGGGGAGAATAACTGTTCTGGGCAGGGAGCTAAGAGGAGGCAGGTGCATTCTCCAACAGGAAAGGGAGGCTTGAGGGAGGAGGTGGAGCCAGAACCAAAGCAGGCTTTCCAGGAAGAGGAACTAGAGAGCCCCGTCGCAGTGCATCTGCTGGCCTGTACAGGTGCTTTGCTCTCATTTCTCAGAAGTAAATCCTAGAGACTGCACATTGGATTCTGTGGCTCTAATCAAAAATCTGCAAAAAGCCAGGCATCAGTGCCGGTGGCTCATGTCTGTCATCCTAGCTACTCAGGAGACTAAGATCTGAGGATCGAGGTTCAAAGCTAGCCCAGGCAGGAAAGTCTGTCAGACTCTTTTTTTCTTTTTCTTTTTTTTTTTTTTTTGGGGGGGGGGGGGTGGTCATGGGGCCTGAACTCTGGGCCTGGGCGCTGTCCCTCAGCTCTTCAGCTCAAGGCTAGCACTCTACCACTTGAGCCATAGCGCTACTTCCGGCTTTTTTCTTTTTGCTTATGTGGTGCTGAGGAATCGAACCCAGGGCCTCATGCATGCAAGGTAAGTGCTCTACCACTGAGCCACCTTCCCAGTCCCATCTGTCAGATTCATCTCCAATAAACCACCAGAAAAGTGGAGAAGTAGAGCTGTGGCTCAGGTGTTAAAGCTCTAGCCTTGAGCTGAAGAGCTGAAGCACAGCACCTAGGCCCAGAGTTCAAGCCCCATGACAGACAAAAAAAAAAAAAAAAAATCTGTAAAAAAAAAAAACAAAAACAACTTGCCTGAAATTTCTCCTTTACACTGAACTAATTAACTACATCCAAATGGTTCTACTTTGAAGTACCTGTCCACGTACCATTCTCTTAATGATTTTCCATCTTTTAATGAACCCTGTAATGCCCTCACTATAGTGGCTGTGATCTGGATCAAAACAAAGTCGAGAGCTTTCCAACACCTCAGTTCCAGGCTACCATTCTACCCTTACCCTCATTGTTCCTTCCCCTCTTACCAGCCTTAAACTCACCAATACTCAGGCCATTCAGCAAGTCCCTTTTTTTCTGGCTTACTCTGTATCTGTCTACTCAGGACCTGGCCTGCATATTTTCCTTCCAGACTCATCTCAAATAACTGCTTTCAGAAGGCTCGCTCATCCATCCTACCCTGCTTCTAAATTGTTCTGCATTCTTGGGACAACTTTGTAGCACTTTATAGGTCATGGTTTTTCTGTGTATATCTCTCAGTGGTGCGGGGTCCTTGTTGAATTGGGCAGTGTAGACTAAATGCTTAAGAAAGTCTTGTGTATAGTGACGCTATTGACTAACTTGAAGTTATTTTCAAGAACACTACACCTTTCTCTGGTGTGAGTTAAGAAATAGAAGTTTTTCTCCCTAGCAGGGCACTAGTGGCTCACGCCTGTAATCCTAGCTACTCAGGAGGCTGAGAGCTGAGGATTGTGGTTCAAAGCCAGCCTGGGCAGGAAATTCGTGAGACTCTTCATTTCCAGTTAACACCAGAAAACCAGAAGTGGCACTGTGGCTCAAATGGTAGAACACTCACCCTCAGCTGAAGAGCTCAGGGACAGTGCCCAAGCCCAGAGTTCAAATCCCACGACTGACAAAAAAAGAAAAAAAAAGAAGTTTCTCTCCCTTTTCACAAAACCACACCTAGGTCAAACTTACTTTGACAAAGGGAAAAAGCAACATGAATTAATACTTGCCTCTTGCACCCCTAAAAAGGACTCTATAGTGTTTTTCTAATCGCTTGGCCATGTAGTTGGCATTTAATATAGCCATTTCCGTGGCCTGTTTAAGGCCCTTGCCTCCCATCATCTGCAACAAAGAAAAAGAGTCATTATTCACTGAACAGGTGAGCCCAACTACACACCACTAGATAAATCCCACCAAAAACAAAAAGGACATCAGTCTACCATAACTGTGGATTAAAGATAAATGGATAATTCCCCTAGGAAAGACCTGTCAGTCTGTCTAGGCCTGAAATAATTTTAGGTTTTCTCTGATAAGCATTAATTTTATATTTTTAAGAAGCCATAGGATGGGCACCAGTGGCTCACACCTGTAATCCTAGGTACTCAGGAGGCTAAGATCTGAGAATCATGGTTCTGTTAGTCCAGGTAGTAGACTCTTTTCCAATTAACTCCTAAAAAGCTGGAAGTAGAGCTATGTCTCAAGTGATAAAGGGCCAGCTTTGAGCAAAAAAGCTCAAGGACAGCACCCAAGCTCAGTTCAAGCCCTAGAATTGGCACATGCACGCGTGAGCGCGCGCACACACACACACACACACACACACCCATAGTACCAATGCTTATAATGGGGAAAGTTGGCTACTATTATTAGAGCTGTTATTAGGTTTCTGTTTGTGAAATTGAGGTATCTTGGCCAATGACAGGAATCCCAGGAGATCTCAGTCAAAATCTCCAGCAAATTGATTTTGTATGGTTTGATTCCTATGGTCCACCAGTGGAGGCTGTTTACATTTTAACTGCCAGGTTCAATATTATCTTTTTCTGGTCCCTGCAATGATCTGGGGTAAACATCACTAGGAAGGAATTTAAAATGAAGATTATGTAGATTTTCATTGCCAAGGGAGCTCATAAACGATTGCAGTTCAACTTATATCAAATTTATAACTAGGTTAAACACCAAATAAAACAACAGTAGTACTCAAGTATAAAGTAAGGAGAAGACATGTGTCTCTCCCAGGCTAGTGAAGAAGGGATTCCTATAGTAAAAGTTAGAACTTGACTTGGAAAATTTAAAAGAGCAGAATTTGGATAGGCAGAAAAAAAGGAGAATGTACTCCAAGCAAATAGAATAACAAAAGCCAAGGTGCTTGAAAAGGTTAAAATTTGTTTGTGATTTATAAATAAGTATCACCATCCCACAATACTGTGAAATTTATGTAATCACTTAATCTCAATTTAAAAAAAAAAAAGCCAAGGTGCAGAAACAGGCACATAGCGACACCAAGGAGTCCCTGCAGGTGAGGCAGTTGGTGACGGCGCCCTTTCTAGGAAGGACATCGATTTGGTTCAGCCTCTCAACCCGTATATCAGAGTCACCAAATCTTTCTCAAGATACTGACATGTATCCAAGCCCAACTCCACATACATTGAGGTGTATTTTTTTAAACTCTGAAATGGGGCCAAGCATATGCCAGTGAGAACCAGCAGCAAGGAGGCTAGGAAACTGGGAGAGGCAGAGGGATCTTAGCAGAAGTGGAATGTCCTAGATCAATTGTGGCAAGCGCAGAAGAGGCTCATAAGAGATTCTGGTGAATAACAACCATCTGAAATAGGAGAAGACCCAAGGTTGCAGAGCTAGCTGAAACACTGCTTTATTTACTTAATTTTTAAACTGAAGCTGTGTCTGATTTTCCAGGCATATGGCCAAACTAGCCTCAGGATATTTATTTTCTATATGTGAGAAATAATCTCCAATCCAAATACATTCACACAAATAACCCAGATTTTCAGAATCCAGGGATCAAAGGGATATGACAATTTGATTCTGTTTGCAGTGAAACAGATCTTTATTCTGATTGTTTTAGTTACTACTATTTGCAAAACAACTTGAGTATTATTTTAAACAGCAGGTCCCAATCTCTGGAGTACACAACAGTTGCTCCAGCTGTTGAGAACCTTTCCATTAAAAATGTTAAAACGTAAGCCAGGCACCCAGTGGCTCACACCTATAATCTTAGGTAGAAGACTGAGATCAGAGGATTGTTCTTTGAAGCCCCAGAAGTTCCTGAGACTCTTATATCCAATTACCCACCAAAAACCTGGAAGTAGAGCTGTGGCTCAAATGGTAGAGTTGGAGATAAAAGTCTCAAAGACATTTCTGTCCAGGCTGACTTTGAATCACGATCCTCAGAACTCAGCTTCTTGAGTAGATAAGATTACAGATGTGAGCCACCAGTGCCTGGCCAAGCCAAAGAGCTTTTGAAGCAATTTTCTGCTACTTTTTGTATTATCCTCCAGACTGCCAAGAATATAGTCCTAAAATTTCTACCAGGATCTCAATGAATGTGCACTACTTTTCACTGCAAGGAGCTAAAGCCTTCAGGAAACCAAATGTTGTGTCCAGAACATCCACATGACTCATGGGACTTAAGTGTGTCTAGAAAATGGCTGTGGTGCACCAGTTTCTGTGACGCTAAACCCAGTATGAGACCACAGTGGAAACAGCACAACAAATAAGAGATGAAATGGATTTTAGCTATCTCCGTAGGAAGATTTTTTTTCCATCTGTCATCAGCAATCTCAAATCATGGGTTCTATCATTTTTTTAACCCATATTCAGCCAAACAGGTTCTCAGGGCTCACCTTAATGTAGGCCCATGAAATGGGCAAGATGGAACTGGAGCCCCATGGGGCTGCACTAATGGTCCCAACAGGCCACGTAGTCTCATCTGACTTCATTGAAACAATGGGGTGACTGGGCAGAAAGGGAGCAAGATGCTTCTTCCTGGAATACATTCAGGAAATGTACCAAGATGCAGTCGTAGCAAACACAAATTCTAGGCCCTCTCAGGAAGCCCTATTTCTTTCTGAGTTTTTGGTTTTGTTTTGTTTTTGGTGCCAGTACTGGGGCTTGAGCTCAAGGCCTGGGCACTTGCCCTGGGCTTTTTGTGTTCAAGGCTAGCACTCTTATCATTTGGGCCACAGCTCCCGTTCTAGCCTTTTCTAATTGTTAACTAGAGATAAGAGTCTTATGGATTTTCCTGCCCAGGCGGCCTTCAGACCAGGTCCAATGCCTTTTATCCAATTCATTCTCAATGGAACTATTAGCTATTTTTTAAAGAGAGAAACAGAAGCTTCAACATCTAGATTCAAGTCTGAAATATACTTCCCAGCACCAATATTGCAGTAGGATCCCTAATCCTCAAGTCCTCTGTAAGTGCTGGGTGAGGAACTATATCCTTGGCACTTGAGCACCTTGCTAGAAGATTGAGTTTGGGCCTACTCTGTCTCCAAAGACACCCTGAAACCGACAGCCCAGAACTCACACTCCAATGGGACCCATGCCAGGACCACCTCCTCCGTGGGGGATACAGAAGGTCTTGTGAAGATTTAAGTGCGAGACATCAGACCCAAAGTCTCCAGGACGACAGAGTCCCACCTACCCGAAGCGAAAGACCAAAAAGATAATAAGCATTAGGAGTTAGGCAGGACCCTGGGGATGGCTACTGTTGCTGCTGCTCCTCCTAGAGGAAGGCAGGGAGGGATACACTCTCCATTACAGCTCAATTCTACAGCAAAACCTGGTATCCCACAGGCACAGTGAGTGGGTTTCTATACAAACCTCAACTGACCATTTTAACACAATTCAGTTTTTAAAATGCAGGTTTGAATAAAGCTATTCCTAATTAGCCACCCAAGAAGGTGAAGCTGAAGCATCAGTAATCATGAAAAGGCAGTGCCACATTCCTATTGAAACAGGCAGCTTTGCCTTTCTTTCCCTGCACACTAGCTCTGGGTACTGTGTACATCACAGAATGGGCCCTTGGATGTTTGGTTTTTTGGGGGCGGGGGGGGGGGGGGAGGCAGGGGGGTCCGGTTGTGGGGCCTGAACTCTGGGCCTAGGCGCTGTCCCTGAGCTCTTCAGCTGAAGGCTAGCGCTCTACCACTTGAGCCACAGCGCCACTTCTGGCTTTTTCTGCTTATGGAGTGCTAAGGAATCAAACCCAGGGCCTCATGCATGCAAGGCAAGTGCTCTACCACTGAGCCACCTTCCCAGCCCCCAGAATGGGCCCTTGGGCACCTTAATAGAAGAGTCCAGAGGATGACTAATTGAGTGGGAGAAAGTGAGGCTGCTGGGTTTCCTGCGATGATCCAGATAACAGTCATGAACATCAAACTGGTGTTTTTGCTGCTTTGACATTTAAGACTAATTTTGATTAGGGACCAAGATAATTTTGCTTTATGCTATTGAAGACAAATCCTGGACTACAGTCATGAAAGGAACAAGACAAAATCAAGGAAAAAAGAATGGAAGAAAAAAAGAAATGGAAAAAGAGGAAGAAAGAAGGGAGGAAAGAAGAGAAGGAGGGAGAGAGGATAGGAAGGAGGGAGGAAACATGGGAGGGGAAAGGGAGGGAAGGAGGGAAGAAGAAAAGGAAAGAGCATAAAAGAGGGGGAAAGAAAAGGAAAAGAAAGCCAAGTATGGTGAGAATAGGCCAAAAAATTAAAAAAGAAAAATCCCCTGTGCACCCAGGTATGACAAAGTTCTGTGATTCCCATCTAAGCAAGAGGCCACAGGTAGGAAATTTGAGGTCTGACACTGGCCTGGATGAAAAAATGCAAGACTGGGGCTGGGAAGGTGGCTCAGTGGTAGAGCGCTTGCCTTGCATGCATGAGGCCCTGGGTTCCATTCCTCAGTACCACATAAGCAAAAAGAAAAAAGCCGGAAGTGGCGCTGGGGCTCAAGTGGTAGAGCGCTAGCCTTGAGCTGAAGAGCTGAGGGACAGCGCCCAGGCCCAGAGTTCAGGCCCCACGACCGGACTCCCCCCCCCACAAAAAAAAAATCAAGAATAGGACTGTGACATGGATCAAGCAGAAGAGCTAACAAGAATGAAGCCCTGAGTTTAAACCCGATGCCACCAAAAAATGAGACACAAAGAAGCCACCAAGAAGCTGAGACAATTCTCAAGCACAGTAAACTACCTTTCTTTTTTTGGTAGTTGTTTGAGGGGCTCAAATTCAGAGCCAAGGAGCTGTCACGGAGCTCTTTTGCTCAAGGCTAGTGCTCTGCCAATTTGAGCCACAGTGCCACTTCTGGTTTTTGAGTGGTTAATTGAGATAAGAGTTTCACAGGGACTTTTCTGCCTGGGTTGGCTTTGAACCACAATCCTCATATCTTAGCCTTTTGAGTAGCTAGCATTACAGGGATGAGCCAGCATTGCCTGGCAAGACTCCTTTCTTCCAATGGCTCCCAGCATTTCCCAGGAGGTTCATATTACACAGACCCTCAGTACCACTCCTCCTGCCCAAGTAATGAAGAGCAGACCCCGTGGGGCTGTTTTAAAGCAGAGGGAGCTGAAACTAGTGAAGTAGATTATCCAAGGTCAGGAGAGATCCACTGCAGCCAAAACTTGAGTCTAAACTCCATCAGACAGGGGATCAGGAGAACTTTTTTGATTGGTTGTAGCCCCAGAGATGGCACCTCCTGACCATCTAACTCACCCTTGCTTCCTTTCAATCTTTATACCTCCTTCTAAGCAGTACCTATCACCTCCTCTAAGATACATATTCCAGTGCAGAACTTAGCAATAAGAAAGTCAATGTTCAGCCAGGTGCTGGTGGCTCTTGCCTGTAATCCTCGCTACTCAGGAGGCTGAGATCTGAGAATTGTGGTTCAAAGTAAGCCCAGGCAGGAAAATCTGTGAGACTCTTGGGATTTTTTTGTTTGTTGTTTGTTTTGGTCAGCCATGGGGCTTGAACTCTGGGTCTGGGTGGTGTCCCTCAGCTCTGTAGCTCAGGCTAGAGCTCTATTACTTGAGCCACAGCACCACTTCTGGTTTTTCTGGTGGTTTATTGGAGATAAGAGTTTCTCAGAATTTCCTGCCTAGGCTGGCTTTGAACCATAATATTCAGATCTCAGCTTCCTGAGTAGCTAGGATTAAAGGCAAGAGCCATCAGCATCTGGTTCTGTGAGCCTCTTATCTCCAAAGTAGCACTGTGGCTCAAGTGGTAGAGCGCTAGCCTTGTACTGAAGAGCTAAGGGACAGCACCCAGCCCAGAGTTCAAGCCCCACAACAGACCAAAAAGAAAAAAAAAGAAAGAAAGAAAGAGAGAGTGAGAAAGAAAGAAAGAAAGAAAGAAAGAAAGAAAGAAAACGGGGCTGGGAAGGTGGCTCAGTGGTAGAGCGCTTGCCTTGCATGCATGAGGCCCTGGGTTTGATTCCTCAGCACCACATAAGCAAAAAGAAAAAAGCCAGAAGTGGCCCTGTGGCTCAAGTGGTAGAGCACTAGCCTTGAGCTGAAGAGCTGAAGGACAGAGCCCAGACCCAGAGTTCAGGCCCCATGACTGGACCAAAAAAAAGAAAGGAAGGAAGGAAGGAAGGAAGGAAGGAAGGAAGGAAGGAAGGAAGGAAGGAAGGAAGGAAGGAAGGAAGGAAGGAAGGAAGGAAGGAAGGAAAGAAGGAAGGAAGAAAGAAAGAAAGAAGAAAGTCCACATTGGAGTGGACATGCAATGTCCAATGGTAGAGCATTTGAGCAGCATGTGTAAAATCCCTGGGTTTGATCCCTAAGACTTGGGTGGAAAAATAAAAGAAAAAGTCAGCCTCAGGTCTGCTTAGCTATGAATTCAGCATCATAATTCAACAGGGCTCTGGAGAAGCCAGAGGGGAATTTTGGTTTGTGTGTTTGTGATACTAGGGACTGAATTTGGTGCCATATGTATATGTATGTGTGTGGAGGGGGGGGGGGGAGGAGTCGGTCATGGGGGTCTGAGAGTCTGAACTCTGGGCCTGGGCGCTGTCCCTCAGCTCTTCAGCAGAAGGCTGGCACCCTACCACTTGAGCCACAGGGCCACTTCCACCTTTTTCTGCTTATGTGATGCTGAGGAAACAAACCCAGGGCCTCATGCATGAAAGGCAAAAGCACTCTACCACTGTGCCAGCTTCCTAGCCCCTGACTTTTATATTTTTAAGTGTCTACTTTTCTCAGTGGAATCAAGGGAGCTCCTCTCAAGATCCACACCTGAGCATTCATATTTGCCCCATCAAGGTAAACCTGTCCTCCGTGTTGGTGGATAAGGGAGCACACATCTCCGATGTTCTCTTCAAACACTCCATTGGTGGATGGGTATGTGATCATGATGGCTGCCAGGTTCTCCTTGTGTTTATCCACCTGTGGGGGGAGGGTGACACAAAGGAAGAAACATTTATTTCTTGGCCAAACTCTGGCTTTTTAGAGGATTAAGAAAGATGAAGTCTTAGCCTTTGCATTCTTGGCACTGCCTCAAAGTACAAAGATAGCAATAAAAGATCCACAGCCATTTCTCCCTCATAAATTGTGCTAAAGAAATAGCCAGATCTTTTAAGGCTTGGACTCTATGGTCAGAAACAAAAAGACTCCTTAGAGTATTTTGGGATATTCTGGGGCCAACTTTCTAAAGTGATTTTCCTTTGGTACATTTTCCTAATAGTTACTGCTGGCATTTTTAGTTCTAGACATGAGTCTTCTCCCAGTTAATCTCTACTCATTTTGTCACGTCCATTCTTAACCCTCTCTCCTTTATTTCTGTAGAAATTTAAATTCCTATAAGAAATGTTACAGAAAGCAGGAATCTGGATTCATTAAATATACTCATTGCCAAGGAAAAAAAAAGAAAAAAAGAAAGAGGAAGGAAGGAAGGAAACAAGGAAACAAGGAAGGAAGGAAGGAAGGAAGGAAGGAAGGAAGGAAGGAAGGAAGGAAAGATGGATTACTATTCTGATAAAAAACAAAACAAAACAACAGGGGCTGGGAAGGTGGCTCAGTGGTAGAGTGCTTGCCTTGCATGCATGAGGCCATGGGTTCGATTCCTCAGCACCACATAAGCAGAAAAAAAAAAAAAGCTGGAAGTGGCACTGTGGCTCAAGTGGTAGAGCACTAGCCTTGAGCTGAAGAGCTGAGGGACAGCGCCCAGGTCGAGAGTTCAGGCCCTAGGACTGACCAAAACAACAACAACAACAACAACAAAAATCTCCTTTATTTTTCTGTTAAGGAAGGTGAGTGTATATAAAAGATTTATTTCATGGGTTTTGGTTGTTGCTGCTGCTTTTAAAGATTCTTTTCTAGTTAGCAAATCAGATCAGTCACATGTGGAAATGAGAGGAAAATAAGTCATATTCTACATCAGAGATTTAATAATTACAACTACCAGACCAGAATATTTGTTGGGAAAAAAAAGTTTGTCTGGTGATGGAAAGACTAGGGGGTAGATGAAAAGATGAGCAGTGTGTATTTTCAGCTTTCCTTTGAAGGCAGTTACATGACGTTCCCACTCTCCATGCCTAATAACCCTGACAAAATCACATTGCTATTCCACTGATTTCCTTCCCTCTTAAGATGCAGTCTCCAGTCCACTGGTAGAAAGCAGATACGGTTGCTAAGCAACGTCTTCCTGGAGGTTGGGAGGTTGGGAGTGGGGGTTGGTTGTAGGAAACAGGATGGAATGCTGCCTGGAATCTAGCTCGGTATAGCTGGGTTAGTAGCAAACATTAACAAAAACCCTACCTTTGTTCTTCAATTTCCAATACAAACAGTGAATCTAATTAGAATTATCAACTTGATTAAAGGCAGAAGATGGGGACTGAGAGAAGGTTGGGAAGAAAGAGGCAGGCAGGTCCTGCAAGAAGCATACCCTTACTACCACTGTGAATAATTCATTCAGTGACTTTAAGGCATGAATTAGAGAGTGGGGATTTCAGTTTAAAATTGGTGAAGGGAGGGATCAAGCAGACATCATCAGCTTTATTGGGGGCCAAAACTATGAACATGGCTTTAAATTTTTAAATTTTCTTAGAGACTGTTAGGCTTCCTGATTTTACCCCATTTCCCCCAGACCCACTCAATGGAGGAATTGACGTCCTTTCATTAGAACACAAGAGAAGATACTGTGGACCCAACCCATCAGGTCCCTCCCCCAGACCTCTCCCCACCCTACCCCTCCTCTGGAGGCTGCGTACCATGGCACTGAGGTGAGCCGTATCAATATTCCCATATTTATCCACCTCCACAGGCTGAATCTTCATGCCTGCCATGTGAGCACTAGCAGGATTGGTTCCATGTGCTGATTTCGGAATGAGGCAAACCTTGGGAATGGAAAGAAAGGATACAAAGAAGAAAAGCAAAGATCATTAGGCTATTAATTGTGACAGAAAAGTCCTACAATATGCTAGTAGCACAAACTAAGAAGGGCACCATCTGAGGGCTGGGAAGGTGGCTCAGTGGTAGAGCTCTTGCCTTGCATGCATGAGACCCTGGGTTCGATTCCTCAGCACCACATAAGCAAAAAGAAAAAAGCCGGAAGTGGCTCTGTGGCTCAAGTGGTAAAGCGCTAGCCTTGAGCTGAAGAGCTGAGGGACAGTGCCCAGGCCCAGAGTTCAGGCCCCATGACCGGACCCCCCCCCCAAAAAAAAAAAAGAAGGGCACCATCTGCTTTGATTGAAACTGAACGATAGTGCCTTAAACATCTGCTATAATTATTATTGTTATTACACAATGTCCCAAAGAGGAGTTTCCATTTGAATCCCCAAATATTGTTCCATAAATGTCTTCCCTCATCCCAGTACACTAAAAACAGGCATGTGCTCCTGAGCCTTATTCAAACCCTGTGTCAATGATACCATGTAGAAAGCATCTTATAATAAAACATTTGACTGGAAGTTAAACTCAAAAATTCAAATGCCCATATCTCTGTACGGTGCTGCTCATGGCTCATCAGAACAGACAACAATGACCGAATTCCAGCACCAACACACCAACACACCAACATGACAACCTTTATCAGATGCTTACTCTGCTACGAATTTGTGGGCTACACTATGAAACATAAAATAAGCATGAAAACTAATCAAAGTATTTGCCCTGTAATCACATGACTTGCTCACTGATAACACTGCTGCATGTAAGAAATGAATGGCTGGAAGCTAGGTGCTAGTGGCTCACACCTGTATTTCTAGCAACTCAAAAAGGCTGAGATCTGGGAGATCACAATTTAAGGGTTCACTTAAGCAGAATGGTTCACCAGACTCCATCTCCAAAATAGTCAACAAAAAAGTAGGGCTTGGAGGCATGGCTCAAGTGGCAGAGCACCAGCCTAGCAAGCAGGATACCTTGAGTTCACACTCAAGCTGCCCCACCTCCAAAAGAGAAATCCATGTCTAGAGGTTTAGAAAGACATTTGAAATAGAAAAAAATGGGGTGCAGCTTCAAGTTGAAGAGTTTGAATGACACGTCTCAAGAGTTACAAACTAGGACCTCAAAGATGCATTGGAATTTTATTTGTTCTTCAGGGCTGGGTATTGATCCCAAGGCCTGTGAGTGCTTGGTAAGTCCCTGTGTTGGCTTTTTTGGAAAGGTGGGTGGTATGTTCAATGTTAGAATTTCTAGATGGAAATCACATTTCATTTCCTCCACACCATTATACAAATTCAGGCAAGCACCTATGCACTTGTAGATGTGATGAACCAACAGGAAAGGACAGCAATGGAATGCAATGAGACAAATCCATTGCTTATCCTAAAAATGGTCTTCATTTCTTTCATCCTAGAAGCAATGTTGCAATTCCTTTGAAAAGAAATGGATAGACGTTATAAAAAATAAATAAAAAATGTAGGGTTGTGAAGAGAAAAACACAGTAATTTCCTCAAAAACAGCAAAGTAGTCTAGTTAAGAAAAATGTATATGTACAAAAAAGAGGACTTGGCTGGAAATGTGGCTTAGTGGCAGAGTGCTTGCCTAGCATGCATGCAGCCTTGGGTTTGATTAGCGGGAAGTAGTGCCAAGGCTCAAGTAGTAGAGTACTAGCCTTGACACAGAGAAGCTTAGGGACAGAGCCCAGGCCCTGAGTTTAAGCCCCAGGACTGGAAAAAAGAGAGAGAGACCTCGAGCCCAAGGCAAAGTGGAATTGCTGATATTCTGCTGACAGAAAGTCTGTGACTTTTTCAAAGGCCACTGGTCATATGCTGGATATACTCGAATGCTTTTTTTGTTGTTTAAATATTTCCCTTTTGCAGTTAAACATTTTTTCTTTAATTTCTCAGGGACAATGTCACTATTTTCTCTATGATATTTTTATTCTAGAAAGGATCATTGGATAAAAGATCCTTTCAGAACAGAATATAAAGGAAGGAAAAAGGGAATATTCAAAAGGAATGTAGCTCATACTTGTAATCCTAGCTAGCCAGGAGGCTGAGATCTGAGGATTACAGTTCAAAGCCAAACAGGAAAGTCCATGAGACTCTTATCTCCAGTTAATCACAGAAAAGTCTGTGGCTCAGGTGGTAGAGTGCTAGCCCTGAACTAAAGGAGCTCAAGGACAGCACCCAAGCCCAGAGTTCAAGCCCCAGGACTGGCAAAAGAAGATGATGAAAGATGACAAAGAAGATGATGAAGAAGAAGAAGAAGAAGGAGAAGGAGAGGGAGAGGGAGGAGGAGGAGGAGGAGGAGGAGGAGGAGGAGGAGGAGGAGGAGGAGGAGGAGGACATGGCAAAGAAAAAAATACAAAGTATTTGTAAAAAAGCCGAAATTAAAAGTAATGGGCCCCCAAGGATACTCAGATGTTCTAATATTTGGAACCTGTGATTGATCCAAAGGGAGTCTAGCTTTGGGGGGCGTTTTATAACCATTTAGATGGGTGTTGTATTCTCTTGATTTCTAGAGAGCCTGGGACAGAATGGGCAGAGATCATCCTAAAAGCCCTGCTGAAAGGTTGAAATATTATACCAGGTATTGGTGGCTCATGCCTATAATCCTAGCTCCCAGGAGGCTGAGATCTGAGGATCCTGGTTTGAAGCCACATGAGGCAGAAAAGTCCATGAGACTCTTAACCTCCAATTAACCAGCAAAGCTGGAAGTACAGATCTGTCAATAGCTGCCTGATGTAAGAAAATAATTTCACTGCTCTGGAGTTCAATTTGTTCTTTATAAAATGAAGGGTTTAGCCGGGTGCTGGTGGCTCACGCCTGTAATCCTAGCTACTCAGGAGGCTGAGATCTGAGGATTGCGGTTCAAAGCCAGCCCGGGCAGGAGAGACCGTGAGACTCCTATCTCCAATAAACCACCAGAAAACCGGAAGTGGCGCTGTAGCTCAAGTGGTAGAGTGCTAGCCTTGAGCTGAAGAGCTGAGGGACAGCGCCCAAGCCCAGAGTTCAAGCCCCACGACCGACAAAAAAAAAAAAAGAAGGGTTTGGTCTAGGTCTGAAGTTGATTATAGCCTTACCGTTCTCATTCCAAAACTTACAAGACACCCGAGACTCCTATCTTCTAGGAAAGTGTTTCTTAAATGCCAGCTAGAGGCCTGTCATTATTTCTAGCTGTAATCTTTTTTTTTTCAAGATTACAATCTAGTCTGTGATCTAAACATGTCTGTCTTGAGCTTTGTAAATTTTTACTTAGAAGGTGAGAACCAATAAATGATTGTGTAAATAACTATGGTGGGAACATGGAATGGCAGGTCTTTATAAAGGAGCTCATTCAGCAGAAAAGCATTCCTAAATAAAGACAAGGATAAAGACTCACACACACACACACAAAAGCTGGAAGTAAAGCTGTGGCTCAAGTGACACAGCATCAGCTACAAAACAAAAAACTGTGGCTCTGAGTTCAAGACACAGTACCCACACAAAAAGACAGAAGAAGGATTAGGAGGAATGCTTCTATGCTGATTAAGTTTCTGTTTGGCCACAGTGTCCAAGGCCACTAATTTGGTTCAGGCAGCTGGAAAGAGAAGAACATATATAAAGGAAACAGTCTCTGAATTGCAAACTTGAGATAATATTTGAGTAGCATGCTGATCTTAGTTGTAAAGTCTTTTTTTTTTTTTTTTTTGTCGGTCGTGGGGCTTGAACTTTGGGCCTGGGCGCCATCCCTCAGCTCTTCAGCTCAAGGCGAGCGCTCTACCACTTGAGCTACAGCGCCACTTCCGGTTTTCTGGTGATTTATTGGAGATAGGAGTCTCACGGTCTTTCCTGCCCGGGCTGGCTTTGAACCACAATCCTCAGATCTCAGCCTCCTGAGTAGCTAGGATTACAGGCGTGAGCCACCAGTGCCCAGCCTTAGTTGTAAAGTCTTTAAGACTATGCCTGATATTGCTGTTACATAAGTTTTTTTATTAGAATAATTTATAGGGCTGGGAAGGTGGCTCAGTGTTTGCCTTGCATGCATGAAGCCCAGGGTTTGATTCCTCAGCACCACATAAGCAGAAAAGGCTGAAAAAGGCTAGAACTGGCACGGTGGCTAAGGTTGATAGAGCACTAGCCTTGAGCTGATGAGCTGAGGGACAGCGCCCAGGCCCAGAGTTCAGGCCCCAGGACTGACCCCCGACCCCCCCACACACCAAAAAAAATAGAATAATTTATATATTTCAGTAAACGGTGAACTCAGACATTCCCCTTTAGAAACCTTTGCAATTTAACCTAAGAAAATAACTCTGTGTGTGTGTGTACTTAGTACTGGGACTTGAACTCAGGGCATGGATGCTGTCCCTGAGTATTTGTGCTTAATACTAGTGTTCTTCTACTTGAGCCACAGCTTCACTTCTGGCTGAGTTCAAGCCCCATGACCAAGCAAAAAAGAAAAAGTCTCAGGGACTTTGCTGCCCAAGCTGGTCTCGAACTGTGATCCTCAGATCTCCACCTCCTAAGTAGCCAGGATTACAGGTGTGAGCCACTAGCGCCTGTCCAAAAATAACTTTGGGAGTGTGTGTGTGGGGGGGGGGGGGTGTGGAGAAACGGCTTGAAAAAGAAAACCATCAAGAACCCAGGCATTTCTATAGCACATGATTTCACCCACATGCCTTTCAAGGAAAAAAAAAAAAAAAAAGGATAGATTTTACTGGATTCCATCAGAGTCTATTGTGTGAAGACAGCTGCTTCAGAAATACTGATGTGGAAAAATCTTCCCTGATTATTTAAATAATAAGTCATTTTCTTCTTAACTAAAAAAGCTGGCCTTAATTAAAGTCTTTGGTCCAGAAAGATGGCAACATTTACAGGATAAGGAGTTGTGTGTTTCTGCATGCTCAGGTCTTCCCGGCCTCTCTGTTCTCCTCGCTGTCCCTACAATGCAGAATCCCACCCATTCTCTGCCCCTCAGATTAGAATGGCTTCTTGAGAGACAGAATTCTGTGACAGCAGTGAAGACAACAGTGCCAGGACAAACATCATCACAAGAGGGTGGGAAGAGAAGGAAGGACTGAAAAACGGTGAAAGGGAATCGGAGATAGAAGAGTATGTCGTAGAAGTACACTGCCTTGGCTAAACCAATGGATTTCTCATTGTCCTTGCCCTTTCTGGCTTGCTTCCCAACTCCTGGACCTTCTCAGCTACTTCCTGGCCTCTAATTGGAGAATTGAGAAAACATCATAGTAGAAAGAACTTGGACTCTAAATTGTCATTGGACATAGGCCTTCCACAAACAATGTGGTCTGTTTGCCAGCCAATGTGGATGGTCACACCAGAAGAAAGTCTGTGAAGAAGACCAATTCCCTTTCCAAGGAACCTAGAGCCTCACATAGGTCATGGTAAAAGATGGGCATAACAAGAGCTTCAAGGGTGTCCTTAGTGCTTGCAAACCATGGAAGAAAAACAGAAAGGAATCACATGGCGTCAACTGACTAGACAAGTAGAGATACAACATCTCAATATTCCATTTAAGTGTTGAGTGCCAGAAACTGGTGGTGGCTCATACCTATAATCCAAGATACTCAGGAGGCTGAGATCTGAGGATTGATGTCCGAAGCCAGTTATCTCCAATAAACTACTCAGAGAAATCTGGAAGTGGCACTGTGGCTCAAGTGGTAGAGTGCTAGAATGAAGCTCAGGTACAGTGCCCAGGCCCTGAGTTCAAGCCCCACAACCACACACACACACACACACACACCAGTTGAGCTTCTAAAGTCCCAAGAGCATTTATAGATCTAAACTATCCATTCCTTAGAAGGTTCAAAACTTTTTTTTTCTTAGAGTTCAAAATCATTAGGAAAGCTTGTGCTGCTGGTAGCTCATGCCAATAATCCTAGTTAGTCAGGAGGCTGAGATCTGTGGATCTTGGTTTGAAGCCAGACTAAACCGACAAACCTACAAGATTCTTATTCCCAATTAACCACTAAAAAAAAAGGAAGTAGAGGTGTGGCTCAGGTAGTAGTAGAACATCAGCCAAGTTAACATGAAACCCTAAATTCAAGCTCTAGAACTAGTTCAAGAAAAAAGACCAAAAAGCCAAAGCCAAGCACCAACAACTCATGCCTGAATTCCCAGCTACTCAGAAGGCTGAGATCTGAGGATTGTGATTCAAAGTCACAATCCTCTTGAAACTCTTTTCTCCAATTAAGTACCCAAAAAAGCCAGAAGTGGAGCCTGTGACTCAGGTGGTAGAACGAGCCTTGAACAGAAAAGCTTAGACGATGCCCAGGCCCTTATTTCAAGCCCCAGGAAAACCCTAGTGAACAAACCTAAATGGGAATATCAGAATCTGCATCTGTCTGAGCCATCACTCAATTTCCCTCTGCCTGATAAACTCTCTGAAGATGGCTAGGTTTTGCAGCTTATTGAATCATGAATGGCTTATTTTTTCAAAAGTGTCTAACAAAATCACTCCTAAAGTCAGGTGTGATGGAACACACCTATAATCCCAGCACAAAAGAGGCTGAAATTTTTGAGTCCCATGCCTTCTTAGATTACACAGAAAGATCTTACCTCAAATAAATAAATAAATAAAATTATATGTTTACTTAATAAGGAGAAAATCCTAATCAAGCCTTCATATATACCTATGGAAGGCTCATATATTCCACATACTTGTGGAATAAGGATGAATACTCAAGGGACAGAGAGAGAAAAGGTTTCTTCCTTTCCCCTTTTTTTGAAAGGGAAATGAAACAGTGTCAAAATTCCTCATTGCAAAACTCAGGCCACTAGCCATATACAGTCTTGCTGTTTTAATCCACTCAATGCCACTTACTTGAGCAGAAACATCCTATACCCTTTTCTGGAATTCTCCTAGGATGGGCAGAAGTTTTTGCCCTGCTCTTGGATCCTACCCTATGCTCCAAGAACTTCCAACTTCACAGCGTAGCAGAAGCCCTAGTATGGCACTGGTCACCAAAACAAAGGAGCCAGAAATGCACACCTCCATCAGCCACAACCTGAGGCCCACATTAGCTCAAAAAGCACAGTTTTTAGGGATTAATGGTGCCCATTAGCACCTATGGGTGCCCACAAAGGCCTCTAAGAGGCAATGAGAGTTCTGAACACTAGAATCTTTTCTCCAAAGCAAACAATAAAGCAGAGACATGAACTTTGCTCTACATCTTTTTGTTATTGCCTCTGCTTAGATCTGAGAATCATCTAATGAGCAATTTATTTGTTGAAGAAATGTTTTTTCAGCATATATATGATGAGAACTGTGCTTAGGCGCAGCAGGGTTTACAGAGGAATTAATGTGCTCTCTGCCTTTCATCCAGGCCCAGGGTCAGGGCTGCGCCACGGAGAGAGGCTCACCATGGTCACATTCCTACCCCTTCCTCCCCCCTGTTCCCTAGAGAGAGCAGTTCCTCAGCCAGCTGGCTCACTTTTACATGCTGGGTTTGCACAAAAGCCTTTTATCTCTGAATGTTTTCCCTCAAAATGGTTAAGTAGATGTCTTGGAGGCAAGGATCCTAACGGTCAGTTCATAGAAATTTGTTTCTTGATGATACATACCGCCCCCCTACCCTACCCCCCATCTGCTTCCAAGAATAATGAGAGTATATCCCATAAGATGAACAGGGCCCGGGAGCTGAGCCTACTGCTCCCTCATGGTGACAAGTACCCTTTGTCCATTCTCACCGTTCTCTGCCTCTCTCCTTTCTGGTCTAAGTAGGCTCGGATAGTGGCCAGTCCAGCATATTCTCCCTGGGCTCCGCTGCAAAGACAAGAAAAGAAATAGCAAGGTTTTGGACTCTGTCAATATGCAATGAGCACTAGTCATGTGTTCACAGTGTACGAAAAATCCTGAACCACCAAAGCAACAGTCTGGCACTACAGCTCACCCACTTCTAAGTTCAGGGCCATGTATCAATTAAGTCTTGATTGTTATTGTTATTATTGAAAAATTTTAAATGATATCAAAATTGGGATACACAATGTATATAACTATGACTTAGTGTACAGAAGAACAAACTTATGGTCAAACCTTGTTTCTTATCATATCCTTCACGAATGCCTTCATGCCAAACTAGGTAATTTTTTTTTTTAAGTTCTGGTCTTGGGGCTTGAATTTAGGGCTTGAATCTGGGCATTGTCCTTGAACTTTTGTGCCACAGCTTCACTTCTGGCTACCTTGAGATAAAAGTCTCATGGACTTTCCTTTCCTGCCTGGCTTCGAACTACAATTCTCAAATCTCAGCCTTCTGAGTAGCTAGGTGCCTTGCAGAGCCAGGTAATCTTGAAGCAAACCTCAACTATCCTATTTTATCTGCTTAAAACTTCAATAGGAGCCGGGCCCTGGTGGCTCACGCCTGTAATCCTAGCTACTCAGGAGGCTGAGATCTGAGGATCGCGGTTCAAAGCCAGCCCGGGCAGGAGAGACCGTGAGACTCCTATCTCCAATAAACCATTAGAAAACCGGAAGTGGCGCTGTAGCTCAAGTGGTAGAGCGCTCGCCTTGAGCTGAAGAGCTGAGGGACAGCGCCCAGGCCCAGAGTTCAAGCCCCACGACCGACCAAAAGAAAAAAAAAAAACAAAACTTCAATAGGTATCTTTCAAAGGTAATAATTACTATTAAAATACATAGCTGCCATCACAATGATCACATCTTGAGTAATAAATTATAGTGTTCTGGTATTATCAGATGCATCAGTTGGGATCGGGGCTTTCCCAGGCCCTGCAGGCACATGGTTGGTGAAGGTTTCCAGACTCATCTCAACAGCCCAGGCAGGCACTACTTTAGCACATGTTTTAGTGACGCACATTCCTGTGAGCAATGCTGAGTCAACTGCAGACTAGTATTTAATGTCAGTACCTCATGAGGGAAGGAAGTTAAGTAACAGAGTTTTGAATCCCACTCAAAATGAGTGTTACTGATGACTAGTGGAGACTTCAGTACACTGCTTGTGGAAGACACTGCACAAGGAGTTATGCACTCCTTTGCAGGCAGAGGTGTTCCTGGGAGCACACTGGCTCCCAAAGATTAAAAGGTCACTAATTTCCCTTCCTAGGCTCTCATCTACTTGACTGAACTGGAGGTTTAGCTATAAGATCCATGAAATCCTCAGACACTCAGCTTCAGCTTTCTCGTTTATGCACGACGTAAGCCTTACTCTTCCTCTCGGTGTTTCAGAAAGACAACGGCTGCTCTTCTGTTGTTCTGGCTCTGAATCTCAAGTGCTAGTGCAGTGGGTGCTTTTTATTTGGAGAACAACAAAATACTCCACCCTTCGGCAAATCACTGGCAGTCCTAGTTACAGTGTTTCCCAAAGCCTCAGTGCCTTCATCTAAAAACTGTATGGATCTCATAGGGCAGATGTCATAAGTAGCGAGCTAGTCCCCATCCTACCCATTCAGCAATGAGTTCCAACTCTGTACAACCTTCCAAAAGCCACCGGTGCAGATTGTTCCCAAGGCTTACAAACCCCCAATTGACTTGTGGTCTTGCTATACTCCTGACTCCTACCACCCTTCAGCCAACAGGCCTTCATCCTTCCCTGAAACATACATGGCAAGCCAGTTCCAGCACTACTATGTGCCTTGTGTCGGGGAAGCTCTCCTATTGATCCTTGCACCCCAGACATCTTCACAATAGACTCAGCTCCAATGCTGCTTTCTCAAAGAACCATCCCTGCAAGAGTCTTGCCTGCCTTGTTCATTGTTGCATTCTCTGTACCAAGAAGTCTGGTAAAGAAGGATATTCACGGGGTACTGACTGAGTGAATGATCTTCTGCCTTCCACAACCCTTAATAGTTTTTGCCTTATTTTTTGTGCTGATCCTGGGGCTTGAACTCAGGGCCTACGTGCTGTTCCCGAGCTTTCTTTGCTCAAGGCCAGTGCTCTGCTGCTTGAGCCACAACTTCACTTCTGTCTTTTTTGGTGGCCCATTGGACATAAAAGTCTCATACAACTTTCCTGTCTGGGTTGGCTTCAAATTGTGATCCTCTGATCTCCATCCTCTGACTGGCTAGCATTACAGTCTTGAGCCACTGTTCCCAGACCTCACAGCCCTTTTATTCCACATGCTTAGCTGATAAAACCATACTCCAGATGGGAAATGATTACAGTACTCTCATGCCTGGATAACAGTGCATGCCTGTTTCATCTCAATCAGAGGCTAAATTCAATCATCATCATCATCATCATCATCAAATGCTAAGGAAATCTGTTCAAATTGAATTCCAATACTTCAGTCCAAGAAATGAATATGAATGCCATCCTTTTCCTATTTTAACCAATGTATTTTCTATTTACGCTGAATTTTTCTCAGAGTTTTATTTAAGGGTGAGAAGAGAATGTTTACAGCTATGAGCTAGACATCCAAAAGGAAGACAACTTACTATATAAAGGCCTGATTAGAAATGCTGGCTGTTTTTTTCCCTTAGATATTCTTAAAATCATCTATGTTACAACTATTTTTTTAAAGTACAAATAATTTAAATACCACACAAACCTTACTACTAGGAAATTATTAAAATATTAGTGCCATCTGTTGGTGGAAAAGTATTATAAAAAAAAATAACTGCAGGCCTGGGAAGGTAGCTCAGTGGTAGAGCACTTGCCTTGCATGCATGAGGCCTTGTGTTCGATTCCTCAACACCACATAAGCAGAAAAAGCCGCAAGTGGTGCTGTGGCTCAAGCGGTAGAGCACTAGCCTTGAGCTGAAGACCTGAGGAACAGCGCCCAGGCCCAGAGTTCAGGCCCCAAGACGGCAAAAAAACAAAACAAAACCCTGCACAGCCAGGCACTGGCAGCTCACGCCTGTAATCCTAGCTACTCAGGAGGATGAGATCTGAGGATCATGGTTCAAAGCCAGCCTGGTCAGGAAACTCTGTGAGACTGTTAACTCCAATAAACCACTAGAAAACCAGAAGTAGTGCTGTGGCTCAAACAGTAGAATCTTGAGCTGAAGAGTGCAAGGAAAGCACCCAGGCCCAGAGTTCAAGCCCCACGACTGACCAAAAAAACCCTGCTTATTTGCATAATCCATCTAGAGAGATTATCACTACTATATGTGAAGGAGCAGCTAGGACATCTGTTTAAGATGAAGTGGTAGTAGCTTTGAGCTACAGAGCTGGCTGCAGGAAGGACTAGACCAGTGCGTGGGGAAGTTAGGGCCACACAAAGGAGAACAAGCTTCTCCTAGAAAATAAAGCCTCCTGTGTATGTTCACTCAGGCAGAGGAAGGAACTACTGTATTTTATGTGTTAATCAAAAAGGAGGGAAAACCAGCAGACAACGTCTAAAACCCAGACTCACTCTACAAAGAATCCATGAGAAACTCCATAGAGAACAAGAGACTAGAACAGCTATGTAATTACACAAATCACCAAAGCCTTAGCCTTATCAGTAGGCTTAGCATGCTCAAGCCACCTTGAGTTCAATCCTAGGACCAAAAAAGGTACAGCCCTAAAATTACAAATACATATATTGGACTTCATCACAATTACAAACATGTACTCTTTAAAATACTTTGTTGAGCTAGGGGGGAGGAAAGGAGGGAGGAATGGGAAGGAGGGAGGAAGGGAAGGAAGGAAGGAAGGAAGGAAGGAAAGACGGAAGGAAGGAAGGAAGGAAGGAAGGAAGGAAGGAAGGAAGGAAGGAAGGAAGGAAGGAAGGAAGGAAGGAAGGAAGGAAGGAAGGAAGGAAGGAAAGAAGGAAAGAAGGAAAGAAGGAAGGAAGGGATCAGAACTATTCAGCCACTAAACATTCATTACAGAGACATGTGGCCCAGTTCCAGCCAATATAATATCCAGCCCAAATCTGCATAAATCTAGAACCCAAAGAATAGACAGTTAAAGATATTTCCATCTCTAGTATGACTCCACATTTTTCTCTAATGCCAGCTGCTCTAGTCTGGCTCATCTCTGAAGCCCAATTTTCTAGCTTTTTAAAAAAAAACTCACCTCTGCAAATTTTCCAATAAATTGCTTTTCAGCTCAAGAAAACCCAAGACATTTTCCATAGCTAGCAGCTCTTTTATGGGGAGTGTTATTAAAACTCTCCTGTAACACCAATGTATTAAAGTTATTCATTCCTAAGAAAACCAACAAAATAGTTTGATTTGGGCATACTGGAGCTTCTTTTGCTTGTAGTATCAAAATCTTCATTGGTCTTCTACCCCTTTGCAAAGCTGTTTGGTTCTGAGTAAATGATCCCTCTGGATCCTAGTTACCTCATCTGTCATATGCACTGAATGCAACCTAATCCACACAGGTGAAATTAATGTTTTTTTTTATTATCATCAGAGTAATATATTTATGTGATTTAAAAAATCTCTTTAAATTCATTCTTTTAAATTAATTATTATTTGCGATTGTTGGATGGAGATAGGGTCTTGCTTTTTGGCCCAGGATAGCCTTAAAACAAGATCCGCCCACTGAGCAAAATTCCGGAGGCTCATACCTCTACGCTACTCTGGAGTCTGAGATTTGAAGATCTGGGCTCAGAGCCAGCCTGGGCAAGAAAGTCTGTAAGAATCTCCAATTAACCACCAGAAAACCAGAAATGGTGCTGTGGCTCAAAGTGGTATAGCTCTAGCCTTGAGGGAAAGAGCTCAGGGACCAGGCACTAAGTTCAAACCCATGCCTGACAAAACAAAAACAAAAACAAATCAACAGAAACAGAAATGCAAGGCTGAAATTAAGGCTGAAAACCACTAGAACAAGCAAGGGATTGAATCAGCCATTCAAGAATGTATAGGTCTGCATTCCAT